CTGAATTTCCACAGTGAACTCTCAATCCTCACCTCTATGTGTGCTCTATGCACAGCTGTCCCATCTCAGTTGATGACAACTCCATCCTTCTAGTTGTTTAGGACAAATTCTTCACTCCTGTCCGCTCCCAAGCCACATCCAACCCATCAGGCGATTTTTAAAGTACATCCTCGTTCCACCCTCGCCACCACCTGACTGCCACCATCCTACCGCATCTGGTTTTGATGACTGCAATCATTTCTCCCGAAATGGTCTCTCTGCTTCTATCTTTTCCTCCCACTTTACCCTTTACACGTTATCCAGCCTGATCATTTTGAAAGATAAATCGAGCCATACCATTCTTCTACTCAAAACCCTCTAAAGACTCCTCATTTCCCTAGAGCAAAGGCCAACATCCTTACAATGGCCAGCGCAGCTCTTGTGAGCGATCGGACCTCCTCTCCTGTAGTCCTGCTCCTCCTACTGACTCCACTCTGGGCGCACAGGCTTCTCTGCTGTTCCCTGAACTCAGAAGCACACTCCTGCTCTCGGGCTCCACGCTGAAAACGCCTCCTCCTCCCCAGATGTCTGCTAGCAGACACCGAAGACACTGCTCAAATCTCACTTCCTCAACACAGCCTCTATGACCCGATACTCTGGATTCTGCTTTCTGATTTCCTGCTCATGTGCGAGTCCAGTGTAAATCGGATGAGGGGCTCTGATCCATCTACCAGATACCCATCTAAGGACATCTGCCTCTACTTGTTTCTTTGGAGATCCTTCCATGTGGCCAGTGCCTACCGGGAGTGAGAAGGGTAAAGAGAAGATGAGAGGGACACATCTGCTTAAAACAGCCTTGACCCAGAAGTAACACGGATCACTTGCAAATAAATTCTGCTGGTGAGAACTAGTCATATGGCCCCATCGGGCTGCAAGGAGGATGGGCTGTATCATCTAGGTATAGGTCCAGGAAGAGAAGGAAAACATGGATATTGGTAAGTAATTCTAATCATGAAATACCTTTTTCCTCCTCTTTCTACACATAAAAAACACACTCAAACCTCTCCCAAGAGAAAACCTGAGGTTCCATTTAGTCAGTGCATCTAAAGACAAGTCCAGGGCCTCTGGGTACATCGAAGCCTTCTTTAACAAGATGATGTGTAGCTCTTTATGATGCAAACTAGGAAGAAACAGGGCAAATTATCTGCACCCACCCTCCCCAGTTCCACTACACAATGAAGGAACACGAGCAGGACGTTCTTCCTTATCCAATATCCTCCTTGGCACAGTGGGCTCTGGCATGCCCTCCCTAGGGGCTGTATAACCTTCACAACCCATCTCTTCCCGGAGCAAGGTCTGGGTCCTTAAAAAGTAGGTTTATAGCTCAAATAGTCAAGGGCTTGTTACATGCAGGCTCATGGTTCCTTTGCCAATATACAATTCCCTCAAAAACTTAGTAGGCCTTTGATCTATTTGTTTCCAGTCAGTTCCATGTGCCAGTAACCACACACAAAGTCCTTTCCTAGACATAATTCTCAAGCCTGATTTATGTCTTTGCCTCCATTCCTCTTGCTTTGAACTAACAGAGGCCACCTGGAGGCCATATGAAACAACAGGTCAGCAGTTTCCAACTTTGGCTGCATGAGAGAATCACTTGGGGGAACTTTTAAAAACTGCCTTATCTAGGTTGCATATACCTTTGACCCATTAAATCAGAAGCTACATAGGTGAGAACAAGGTGATTCTGAGGAACAGCCAAGAACAAGAATTCATGCCCTTATCTGATCTTTGCCATAGGACTAAGCTACCTTCCTTTGATTGAGAAAGTTCCCTAGGCCTTTATTGCTCAAAGCCTTTCTCAACTCTTACCTATTGCGCTCCAGGGTCTATAAGCAATCTGTTTTTCCTGTCACTGCTCCAACTGTCAGAACTTTCTCTAGTCCCTTTCATTTTTTGCTTGAAAACTTGCTATTTCTTTCTTAAGCTCATCTCTTTCTCATCATACCTAAAAAAACAGCCAACACACACTCACACTCCAACCCTTTCCAACTTTTGACCTGGAGCTCAGGTGGCACGAAGTGTGCCTTCTAAGCTATCATGGATGACAAATTAACCCAACTGGTCACCACTGCATAACACGAGTTTCTGTCCTTCCCAACTCCAATATGAGTGCCTCATCAGGGCTATTTGACTGCTAAGTCAATGACATAGATTTTAAGGTTTTTTTTTTAACAGGACTCTACTTACAGTACCAACTACTATAGCAAAAACTAAAACCTCAGTAGCTTAACACAAAGTTTCTCTCTTGCTCCCATCAAAGTCAAGTAGGTTGGCAGAACACTCTTCTCCACCCATCAGTCAAGGACCTAGTTTCCTTTCATTTGTGGTTTTATCCTCCTATGGGTCCTAATGAAATTCTCCCCAATAAGCTGGAAGAGAGAACAGAAGAGGCACTCAGCTATTAGTGGTCTTATTCTAGGAAGACACATACCACTCCAATCACATTTCACTGATAAGTGCTATTTACATGGCCCTTCTTAGATACGGGAAGGCTGAGAAATGTAGTCTAGATGTATGCCCAGCAAAAATAGGAAAACAGCGATGTCAGTGAGCCCTAATGACCTCTTTCATACCCCTTAAAATTTAAGCCCCACAGAGCAGGAATCTGATTTGTTCATAGATGTACCCTACGTGCCTGGCACCACACAGTAGGAGCTCAAATAATATGAATGAATAATAAATGCACAGCATGAATCACAGATACGATACCATATGGCATTTTTTCCCTAAAATATTTTAAAGTCAAATGAATGGACTGATGCCTAAAAGAATAAAAGAATTACACTGCTTGGTTACTTAGGTAAAACATTAAACAGAAACTTTTGGAAAAATCAAAGTAAACTTCCAAGCACCAATATAACACCTATCAAATCTACAATACAAATTCATATACAAACTTGTTAAATGCACACTAAATTTGTCTCTTGTGAACACAGAAAAATATTCATTCAAATACTAGTATAAACACAGTGGGCAATCTTCAAAGAAATTACTATTAAAGTGATTTACACATCTTTTTGTTAGTGGAAACTTCTTTACCCACATCAGTCCCAAAATTCACTCACATCTTCCTCAAAGAACAAGGGCACTGCACATACAGTTCTAATCTTGAAAACAAGTTATACACACACACACTGCTAAAAAACCTTATCAGTATGCATCAGTCACACATAATGCATATACTCATCAAAATTCAGAACTGATACCAGCTTCATGCCTATAATACTTGATTTTTTCTTGAAATCTTCAGTCACTATAACAACAATGAATGTAATTAAAAAAAAACAACAAAGCTAAAATAAAAATAACAAATGGGGATATGGCTTACTTCACAAGAATGTTGTGAGGATCAAGCAAAAACACAAGAATTCATTCGTGATTTCTGTACCTTCATTTATGTGTTTTAACTCAATGCCAAAATTCAAGAGTATATGAAACGCTGCTTTGTAAATCATAAAGCAATATTTAGCCACTTATCTTTTTTAAAAAAAATGTAAACGTCCCATTTCTTAAAAGGGCTACAAATTAGCTAAATGAGCAAGTTCAAACTATGAAGAACAAGTTCCTCACTCTTCCCCTCAACATTTAGAATGAGAATCATCAGAAGAAACATCCCAACGAATCCAATCCTTTTAAGGGGTAACAGAGCAGAGTTATCTCAGTGTTGAGAGTTAGACTCTAAAAAACAATCGGAAAAACATTAACAAATCAATTAAGTGGAACACTTGCACTTTAAGAAAGGGAAAAGTAACAACTTGGAAATCTACAGATTATCTCTACTCAATGAAAAAGAGAAGAAACTACTACATTGTATTTTTTTTTCCATTGCTTGTTTAAAAATTTTAAATAATCACTCCTCAACCAAAACAGTACTGGAATTTACAACACAACAAAACCTAGGATAGGATGTTCCATTTAACGAAATTTTATGGTTAAGTGTAACTAAAAACCTATCTGATTAAAAAAAAAATTATCTCTAACATGTCAGAGATGTAGGAAGTAAAGTGCACATGTGGGTTGAAATTTATTTTTTTTTAAACCAATCCCTGATATGAACTTACTTGCCTTTTTTCTTGATTGAGTTTTAAGAAGGCTAACTAGAAAAAAAAAAAAAAAGAAAGAAAGAAAGAAAGAAACCCCTGGTAATTGAAGCTTTCTAATACTTAAAGTCCAGTAGGATAACCAAGGGTAAGAACCTAAATCCTGAATTATATGTATGACCCTACATATCGTTCTCCCTTTAGCAAACCAACCGACCAACCAACGAAAACTAAAGGGAAAAGTTTTTAAAACGACTTTTGGGAAATAAAAGGATGGCATTTTAACAACTCTGAAAATAAACTGAGAAAAGGTAAGAAAAATGATTGATGCTAAGCTTGTTACGTGATTTATAAACACCGCAGGAAAATAACACGTCCTGCACCCAAATACTGTTATTTAAAGGACTACTTTTGAAAGTAAGGACATCAATGTGGCAACTGTAAGATACAATATTTCCCCAACCTCAGAGAGATGAAAATTTAACTCCTTTATTTCATGCAGCTTTCTGTGCAACATATAAACCCTAGAGACATGAAAAAAATATGCTTGAGAAAAAGAACTTTAAGTCTTAAAGCTCAGAGAGCAAGCCTGGGGGGATACCCCGCCGCACAATTCTAAAAGAAGACATTTCTCACTTACTTTTTCACTTCAACTGTAATATCCCCAACTCCTGCAACTTTAAAAATTCTCCTTTTAAAATCAAGTGATGAAAATAAAGAAAGAAAGAAAGAAAGAAAGAAAGAAAACCAGGTGATGAGGCACAAAGTATTTGCCGCCGTCATGGCCGTCATGGCCGTCAGCGCCAAGACCGGATTACCCGGCGTCCCCGCTCGCGAGGCATCTACCCGGAAGCCGGCCCGGGGGGCGCCGCGGAGACAGAGTAACAGCAGAGGACCCTGGCTGGGGCACAAAGCAATTACCCAGGACGAGTGCTCCTTCATCTGGTGCTGGTTGCTGTGAGGGCCACTGGCATGGCCGCGCCAAAAGCAGTTTTGGCAGAGCTGGTAGTTGTGGCACTGCTGGCACCGGTACCGGAAGCCCATCATGCTCTCGCAGCGGCAGTAGGAGCACTCCACGGGGTGGAAGACTGCGGAAGCACACAGCGGGGGCGGGGGAGGGAAAGAAGGCATTTTCATTTGGAGAAATAAAGTCAATACAGGGAAAACCAAACCTCACGTACACAAGCAAAGGTGAAAACAGAATTAGAAGCGAAAATTCTAAATTGTCTCCTAGTTAACGGAACCTGCCATTTACTAGAATAAAAAGGAAAGACAATAACCCTAACCCTAACCCTAACCCTAAAGATGAGAACAGTTTCTCAAGTTATTACATTATATTCCAATCCACCTGAGAAAATAACCAATTTCTTTTTTTTTAAATGAAAGTCATGTTTCTCAAAATTCAGATAAATATATAAGAAAAGAAGAGAGAGAAGCCTTCTCAGTCTAAAATTTATTTCCCAAACCTGTTGCTTTTTAAAGAGATGTATCATTGTTAGTTGTAGACATTTGTTTTGTTCCCTAACATGAGATCCGTGAGATCTCGGATGATGTACTCTGTGTCTCTGTTACCTGAAAATGGTATTTTACACAATACCTTCAACTGAAAGCCTTCAAACGTTGGCTGCATTAAAAGCTATCACACACCTGGGCATAAGTGGTTAACTGGTTTAAAAAAAAAAGTAAGGCTAGACATATTACCATGTTAGTTGTAGGTAAGAGTTCTAAGTAGCGGAACAGTAAAATAAAATACTCTAGGCCAACGAAGGGGCAGTGGTTGGGAGGAAGGGAAGCTCAGAGACCTGTCCCTCTTTCCTCCACTCATACAGCCCCTTACCTAATGAAAAACTGCCAGATAGCGGTCAGGATTCAGAGAGATTGCTGGGATTCTCTTACAGCCTGAACGTAAGCTCACCGAGTGGGAAGTGGGCAATGCACTACTCTATATTACAGATGGTTGTTTATACTTTTCAGAGTTGGTAGCATGGTTGGTCCCACTGGCAATTCAATTCTGAACACAAGAAATGGAAGTCGATGGGAAAGGGGCATATAGTATTCAAATCTTCATCTGAATAACTCTTTCAAATACTATGTATACAAATCCAATCTTATCTCAATAATAAGGATTTTTGGTCCTGTTTCCAAAAATGTACATTAACTAGGGCATCAAGGCTCAAAAAACAAAAATGAGCACTAGGTGAGGAAAACAATGTAACAGAATCATTAAAGACTGTAAGAAAAGTAAAATCAGGAATGAGAATTCCAAAGGACATACTTCCTCTAAAAAATTCAAGCTTTTTGTCATCAAGATATTTCTAAGGAATAATGAAAGTGCTAATAAAAATCTGTGCTCCAAATTAAAACTATACAATCTAGGGGCGCCTGAGTGGCTCAGTTGGTTAAGCGTTTGTCTTCGGCTCAGGTCATGATCCGGGAGTCCTGGGATCAAGCCCCACATCAGGCTCCCTGTTCACTGGAGAGTCTGCTTCTCTCTCTGACCCTCCCTGCTTCGTGCTCACTCATTCTCTCTCTCTAATAAATAAAATCTTTAAAAAAATTTTTTTAATTAAAAACAATAAAACTACAACCTAGTAAAGTTCCGCCAAAGAACACTACTCCCAAATCAATCTGGAGCTCACAGCAACATAGGCAACATCAGCACACCAGCATTTATAATTCAATTATTTTTGGTTAATATTAAATAATACATGTACATTAATATTAAATTATCAAGTATATTGATTATCTTGGTTGAACATGTATATCTGTGTGATTTCTCTCCTCTTCTACACCAGTCAAGAGCCACACATTAGACAGTATCATGGGTTGACCAGGTGGAAATGGAAAGAACCAGAATGTGCAGAGGATCATCAAGTGTACTGAGTCAATTATAAATAAGATCAAGTTTTGGTAAAAGCATTCTTTTTGGAAGAACGCATGTTAGTAATCTTATACACAATACACTTGGATTAGTAAAACAATATAAAAAGTACAACTTTTGTGTAAGTAAATAGATATCTGTCTTTATAACTAGGAACTTCAATATAATTCAAGTGATAAATTTCATAGAAGGGCCCAAACAACAACAAAAATACCATATAAAAATACAGAAATACCATAATTTTAGAATTTATTTCCCCTCCATAAAAATTAAGATATGTAGATAAATGTTATTGTGATAGATAACGTTTTACTTTCGAGACATGTCAATGAGTTCATACTATTTCTCTGTCCCTAAGAAAAATATCACTAACCTCATAAGAATGTAATCAACAAATAATACACTATATACAAAGTCACAGTAAAATGTTCATATAGATAACAAAAATCAGGACAAATGAGATTTTCTATATGGTATGGCAGATACGAAATGACTTTATGAAAACAAACTGAATATGAAAGTCCTAAAACACTTCAGGCTTTAAAAGTATTGCCTCCAAAAGAGCCAATAATACTTCAATAATAATATAATAATTTAACAGTATAAATCTCTATCCAAAAATCCTGTTAAAAAAAATTTAGCTGTTTTAGTCAAGAGATTCTACACCTTGAAGAAAATAATCCTGAATCTAAGGTACCTGTGAACTAAAGCCACAGTGGGGCAAAAAGCTGAGAGGTTTAAACACACGGATGAGAGGGAAAAAGACAGAGTATGGATGTGCATTTCATTCTCACAAAGGGGAAAAAAAGAGCTCTACTTTTTCGGGCCTCTCAGCTGTTACTGGTTCTCTTTGGCACAATAAGAAACAGGCAGGAGCCTTGAGAGGAGGTTACATAAGAAACTATAGCCTTTCCTTTAACAAACTCACAACCTAAACGAGGAGATAAACCGATAACGATAGAAGAAAGAATTAAGAACTAACAGGAGATAACCACCATTTCAATTCCAAGCAAGACAAAGATTTAAGTCAGATTCCTGGAAAGGATACCAAGAGTAAGTCAAGATAAAATAGTAAAGGCAGAAAGAGAAGATGTGTGAAGTACCAAATTCTAACGTAGCTATTTTCCTTTAAACTGTTCCAAAATCATTACAGTTTTAGTGCTTGATAGTGCATATATCCAATTTTTTAGAACTGTGACTTTTATAAATTAAAGCGGGGGGGGGAAGGAAGTCATGGCTAAATCAGGTGGGTTCAAGTGATTCTCAGTGGGGGAAAGCCTGAAGTTTGAACCACAAAGTTTTATGACCTGATATTACTCTTTCTTGGTACCCTAAGTAATAAGCCCCCTTCCCCTACTTTTCTTTGAGAAATAAATATCCCTCTTCCGAAAGCTAAAAATCACAAATTCAAATGACACAGTGACAACAAATGTCAATTATAATTTTCAATGATAATAGCTAGGGACATTACAAATACCGTCAGTTCGTGTATTTCCTGTAGCACAAGGGACTGAATGATGAAAGTTCTGCTTACCGTTCTCAACATGGGCGAGCCTATGCATGAGAGGTAGCCAGACAAGGCACTGGGGAGGGGGATCGGCCATCACTGTGTCTAAAAACATATTTAGCATTATCTTTTTCTGTGAAGAGAAGAAAAACAAACATACTTTATATTATTCAAGTATCTCTGAATTCCAAATTTAAGTTAATCTAGAATTCTCTCAACCAAGTTGTAATGAGTTCCATGTGACATTCTATAGCAAAATACAGTAATATTTTACATTACTAAAGACACCAAAACACACTATACGTTACTGCTATATTCAAACGCATTTCTGCATACATCATTTTGAGTCTTAAAACAATTGTGGGGGCGCCTGGCTGGCTTAGTCGGTTAAGTGACTGCCTTCAGCTCAGGTCATGATCCTGGAGTCCCGGGATCGAGTCCCGCATCGGGCTCCCTGCTCAGCAGGGAGTCTGCTTCTCCCTCAGACCCTCCCCCCTCTCATGCTCTCTCTATCTCATTCTCTCTCTCAAATAAATAAATAAATAAATCTTAAAAAAATACAATTGTGTAAGGTAAATAGTTGAGGTATCGCTATCTTCATCTTACAGATGAGAAATAAAGGAACAAAGCATTTAAATGACTTATAAAGGTCCTGGGGCACCTGGGTGGCTCAGTTGGTTGAGCGTCTGACTCTTCATTTCAGCTCAGATCATGATCTCCCGGTTTTGGGATCCAGCCCCGCATCGGGCTCCACACTCAGCAGGGAGTCTGCTTGGGATTCTCTCTACCCCTCACCCTCTGCTTCTGTCCCTCTCTCACTTGTTCTCTCTCTTTCTTTCTCTCTCAAATAAATAAATAAATCTTTAGGGGGGGAAATAACTAAATAAAGAACGTGTAAAGACCCGACCCAAATGAGACACAGAGCGAGGACTGGAACTCAGCTGCCCTGCAAATTACTATTTCTATTACCCACAGGGAAGAGAGACATCCCACACCTTATTACAGAACATCAGCGAGAGCAGGAACTACTCCATTTGTTGTTTACTGTATTTCCAGCATTTCATAACAGTGCCACGCACACAACAGGCACTTGAGAAGTAATCATTGAATAAATACTAAAGTGAGGAGCAAACATTGTTAAACATCACTTAACAACTTTCTCATTTACAGAAAGAAAACTAAAGCACAGAGTAGTGAAGTAATTTGACCCTATCACAAAGACAGTTACGATAGGGATCAAAATAGAGCCTGAACATCCAATGTCCATCACTCCCCCATTACACCATCTCCCCAGCTAGACTGCATTTTTGTGTTCTGTCTTTATTTCTCTCTTTTAAACAAATACATATGAAGCTTCCACTGCATGTGGAACACTGGCATAAGTACATCCCACTGGACATAGAAAATCAGAAATTTTCAAATTAATGAATTGTCTTTTTATTTCCTCTAACCCACAAAACACCTTTGCAGCTCCAAAAGGAAAGGAAAACGGAGGAAAAGGGAGTGCCTTACAACTAGATGTGAGAGTTCTGTAATTGCAACTTGGACACCTCGGCCCCCACTTCAGACCTGATTCCAAAACAAGGGTAGAAACAAAAGGGCAGACACAGGAGGGTAGGAGATGCAGGACCAGTAGTAAGTAGGACTTTTCCAAGTCCTGGTCCCACCATTCCAAGGCACGGGGAGGGACTGAGGACTAGGGGCAAGCAGACACCAAAAGGCACCCAGAATTTCGTCTCAGTCTCTCCCAAGAACTGTGTTCTCAGTCCCTGAAGTGGCAACAGGATCTACAAAATGGGATGTTTCCCCATAAAACTTTCAAATATTTTGGTGGGGGGAGAAATAATAAAATTGGTTAGAGCTGACCCAAAGATTTTGCCAGTGTATTACAAAATAAGTGATTTTTACCACTAATCTATTCACCATAAACTGGAAGCAAGGAGTGAAGGCACTGTGGTGATAAGTCAGGAGGATGGCGGCCTCCAGCATTTAAGTGTCCATCATGACACTTTTCCAATGATGGTTACCATCATAGAAACAGGAGACTACAGACTCACTTTTGTGTATCTTTTTGGCAACTAAGAGAATCTTGATTCCATTGTATATACGGAGATAATTCTTACTAAGAATAATCTTTTTAAGGGTGCCTGGGTGGCTCAGTGGGTTAAGCGACTGCCTTCAGCTCAGGTCATGATCCTGGAGTCCCGGGATCGAGTCCCGCATCGGGCTCCCTGCTCAATGGGGAGTCTGCTTCTCCCTCCGACCCTCCCCCCTCTCGTGCTCTCTCTCACACTCTTTCTCTCTCAAATAAATAAGTAAAATCTTAAAAAAAAAAAGAATAATCTTTTTAAAAAAGAAATTGGTAAAAAAAAAGAAATTGGTAAACAGGAAACAGAAAAAGGAAGATAAAGTAGATGGCAGAACAAGAAAGAGCCTTTTGCAATAAAAACTTGAAAAAGATGAAATATGAAGGAAAGCCTCTGACCGAGGACAGACACTGGAGGCCAGCACTGAATAGGGTGAGGGAAGGGGCGAGCAAGAGGGCTGACTGAGGGTGATAAAGAAGGAAGTTACCAACCAAAGGCCCTCTATAGAAAGTTGTGCTCTGGCGGTGAGGTTTGAAAACTACCTACTCAATCAGGCTAAATAAAGTTTTCCGAAGTGTTCTCCATCTCGGGCATCCAAGTCACTGATGTTTCTGAGACCTCAGTGGAACCTCAGAGGAATGCATGAACAACATTAAAAATAAAACCAGAAAGTCACCGAAGAATTTAAATGGACGTCCAGATATGGAAAATGCCTCTAATTATGGATATGCTGATAATTGCAACAAAGCAAATAAATGAAAAGTGTCTACATAAAATTACTGAGAAAGAAGATGCTAGGAAGCTAGGAAGAGGTAGTAACCAAAAACCAAATGTATGTTTAAATTAATATTTCTATATTAAAATTGAATTTGTACAAGTCTACCTATAATCCTCATGCTACTTTTGATTCACCTATCATGGAGGTTTCTTTTTTAATCTTCAAGATGAAAAGGAACAATTATATTTGACATCTCAGAAGACCCTGATTAAAAAACACTCAGGGTCAGTTTACAAAAGTTGTCCTAAGGTCATTTTGTAATGTGAAGTCCTCCAAAAGCATGAGGAATGAAACCAGAAGAACTGTGTCCAAGTACCCTGTCTTCCATAAACCATGTAATTTGGGGAAAATCATTTGACATTCTGGTTTCAGTTTTCTCACCTCTGAAAGGGTAGAGCAGTGATTCTCAAAGTGTGGTCAGAAGCTGCCCTGTAGGTCCCTAAAACATTTTCAAGGAGCCCATGAGGCGAGAACTATTTTCATAACAATTCTGAGACATTATTTGCCCTTTTCAATTTCAGTCTCTCATAGGCTTCCAGTGGGGTGTGCCAGAAGCAAGGTGGCATATTCACAATCATCTGAAAAAACTACTAAAGCATTCCTCCCTTTTCCAACTCCTCCCTGTGTGAGGTCAGATTTCTTTCCATATTTTAACCAAAACGAAGTATCACAACAGAATCAATGGAGAAGCAGATAGGAGAATCCAGCTGTCTTCAATTGAGCCAAATATTAAAGCAATTTGCAAAAATGTAAAACCATAGCATGCTTGTTAAATATTTTTGTTTTGGAATATATATTTTTCATAAAAGTATATTATTTAAGATGTAACAGGTTTATCATTGTTATTTTTTTTCATGTAGGCTCCACACACAGCGTGAAGTCCAACACGGGGCTTGAACTCATGACCCTGAAATCAAGAGTTGGACGCCCAACCAACTGAGCCCCCAAGCATCCTATCATTGCTATTTTTAAATGACAATAAATATCTTTAATTTCTCAAATTTAATTTCTAGTATAGAAATACTAATAGGTATAACCCACATAAACAAAAGCTCTCTGGGGTCCTCAGTAATTTTTACTGTAAAGAGGTCCTGAGACCAAAAAGTTTGAGAATAGCTGAGATAGAATTCCCAGCTCAAAATTCCATGACTCGGTAAATAACTACGTGGAAGACAGGTTGGCTCTTTTTTCTCCTTTTTTGTTTTATTTTGGTTTTTTTTCTTAAGTTGAACACATCCTTTGCATTTCTCCTTACTTTTATAGCACAATGATATTTATAACAAAAACTATAATAAAATTGCAAAAAATGCACCTTCCCACAATTCTCATTTTGCTGTATTTCTCTCCAAATGTATGTATGCTTCTATGTAATTATGTACACAGGGCAGACAAAAATATATGATGTTTTTTCACTTAACTTTTTATTAAATATTGTTTTGCAACCAGGTATTCATTTCTAATCATTTTAACAGCTGCCTGATCCACTGAGCAGAGACAACATGATTTATCTCTGCCTTCCTCTATAAAACAGGCTGTTTCTATCCTCGTGCGTACTCATTTTTTTCTTGGAAGTGAGCATGTTTTTGGTCACCTACCTCCCAGCCCTTGTTATTCTAAGCCTCAATACTGACAACTATTACCCTAGAGCCATTCTCACCTCCTTCCCTCCACCCATGACTACACTTTCCGTTTTAAAGGGGGACAGGGACCATCGCTTAAAAATGAGAAATCCAGTATCACTAAAATAACATGAGAAAACAAGTTAGTTTAGCACTGGATCATCACAGGTGCAATTTCCAAACTCGTCATTTCTGTTAAAATGTCTTATTTCCTTATGGGCAACAGGTATTTCTTATCCATTGCCTTAACTTACTTGATAATCAATTAAACCATGTATGACATATAGTTAATAAACTTAAAAACATTTTTTTAAATCTTCTGGATTAAAAACATTTTTATACAAACTTTTGTGCAGAGTTAGAAATTTTCTGTCTGACCAAGGCAAATAAACATTAACTGGTTATAGGACCTGTGCTATGGGCCAAACTTTTGATATTATTAGACACTGAATTTGTCCATATCACAGATTTATTTTGAAAATTAAAGTACTGGGGCGCCTGGGTGACTCAGTCGTTAAGCGTCCGGCTTCGGCTCAGGTCGTGGTCCCAGGGTCCTGGGATCGAGCCCCGCATCGGGCTCCCTGCTTGGCGGGAAGCCTGCCTCTCCCTCTCCCACTCCCCCTGCTTGTGTTCCCTCTCTCGCTGTCTC